TAAAAAAAACCAAGAAACGTAGACTCTTGGTATTCATTACACATAAACTAGCGAGCCCCAGAATGAGAAACAAATTTTAATCATTATTATTGACGGATTAGTAAACTTTTTACACGCTTTGGAAAATCTCAGAAGTTCGCGGTAGTCACTTTTCGGTAAGGAACTAGGGGACTCGGTTATTGTATCGAGGGGGGGGTCGAAACGATCGCAAAGGCGGTATACTACGTATACGCGCCAAAAATAATTTAGGTACATGAATCACCTTATGAAGTGATGGACAATAAAACTAGTGCTCTATAATCTGGTGCTATTTGCTTAAATCAGACGTCGCCGCCTACAATTATACATATCACCGCTCTTTTGACGTGAGGGCGAATCTTTACTTTCACGTGAACCCTGGGGTATGGAGTTATGCGAACATCAAGGTTTAAACCAAAAAGAAGTTACGGCGTTACGTGAAGGCAGCGACGAACCAAAGGACACTTCGCTAACCGTAGAGCGATTAAAAAATTGTCACTGCCTAGATTTGTGTTGCCATCATATACTCCTCGCCATTTTTTTTTCACCATCGAAAAACTTCATGGCCCCTTAAAATTGTAGATGAAACTTTAGATCAGCCCCAGCCTGATTGAATGGCTTCTAAAATTTTTGGATGGGGTACAAGTACTGAAAATACCAATTCTTTCAATTAAAGAATATGTCGTCACCTTTTGAAAATTTCTGTTCCGGATTTGGGTAATTTTTTTCCTCTCCTTTTTACTTGGTGTAAGATTCATACAAAGCATCGAAAAAAAAAATTGCAGGTTTATTGCCATCGCGATATTTTTACATCACTTGGTCAATGTATGCCGATTAGATAGGGAGTTTGCAATGAAACAAAATTGCAACTCATCTCTATTTTATTGCGCGATAGAGCTCAAAAATAGGAACCCCTTCAATCGGCAGGTAGGCAACACCTCGTCACAGTGGCAAGTGCCACTGGCAACTTTAATACTTTACCCTGTAATCGCAATTTATTGCAACCTGTGCGCCGTGCCTCTTGGGCTCATGTACGCACTATATCTGGATGGGGTTTAGCGGAAAGTAATCTCAGTGAATTATGGACTTTGAACACAAAAAAATAGGTCTTGAGTCGCGTTCCTTTCACGAAGCTCAGATTTGATGGAAAGTATTTGCACTCTAAAACATTTTCACGGACGTGAATTCCTTGCAGGAGAAATTGGACGACAATGTGCAATTAGGAACTACAATGTCAGGCTCATCAATAAAAGCACGTACTTGCATAGGGAAACGTATGCCACATATTCTGTTTCTAAAATAAACCAGAATTTGTATAGTTCCAACTGCAAAACGCAGTCCAAGCATGCCTCTATGTATGCACATACCTTCCTATTCGTAACTTATATATTCCTCCTCGTGCTGGGAATCGTTTAGTACAATGTTTTAATTAATCTTAGTTGTGGGCAGGAGGGGGAGGGGGGGCTTATTTTTACTCACTTGGGGGTATATCTCCTGGAGGGTTTACTAGATTATGTCCTTGCATAATGTTATTCCTACGTTATTTAGTTTTTAAGCTTAATCTTATCAACTTCATCTTATTGTTGGGTGGTAAGTGTTACTCTCTCTTCTTTCTGTTATCAGAAACGTCCTCAGGACATGTAAGGGGCGTGTATGCTCCAGACGATTCCGTCCTTTTAGTATGTAATTCAGGTCTTCGGGCCGATTTCCTGTCGAGTTCGGTTCCAATCTGTAATTTATACTAATGAACCACGTGATGGGGATCAACATGAAAAAAAAGAAGGAAAGAAAAGAAAAATATTATTTATTTTGAGAATGATAATCTGTTCTCTTCCGCTGAGCACTGCTCATATGATGTCTGTAAATTCAAGTGAGGGGGGCCTTCAAAAAATTCAACAAGCAGTGAATTCCCGTAATTTCAGAATATCAGCCCCTACCTAAACCTTGACAGTGTGGTTGAGTTGTAAACTAAATTGAAAAATCCTTGACAGTAACAATCTCAGCAACTCACTTTTTGAGGGACCAAAGTCTACAGTCGACAGAACTCCCGGTGTGGGACCACATTTGAAGTAACCTTCGCCAGCGCCATCCGTAGTGTATAAAACAGCATTTTTTTCAACGTGTCCTTTTAACGTGTCGGTCAACCACCTCATGTACCAGCTATCGCACGCAAAGTAGCTACCGTACTCGTTTTCAACCTGTCGACATCCCATTCGAACTAGGTAAATACTGTAATGGACCGTTCGGTATTCTTAAAAAATGTGACTGGGTCGGTGAAAAAGGACCTCATCCTCCAAAAATTCAAATTTGAGCTATTGGTACCACAAAATAGAGTAAGCAAATCTGTAAATGGGCCTGTTGCATGCAAGAGATACAGCCGTGCGAATAGACTTTTTAGAGGTTAAATGACACGAAAATTACGATGGTCACATTAAAAAAGTCTGAAATACACTCCTTACTGCGCAATTTGTGTTGTTAGGAACGCGTTTTTTCAAATTTCCCGCGTCTGGGGGCAGTTTTCTAACGGCAACTCGCGGCTATTTCCGGTCAACTAAAACTGACAACATAACCTAAAAATCGGAGCTCGTGACATCGTGAAATGAAATGTAGAAGGATTGCGTTGGATATTTAAAAGTTGATCGATTTGGTTACCGCATAAAGCGTATATGGACCACTGTAGGAGATCACGTTGGGTTTGTAAACAAAAAACTGAAGGAAAAAATAATAACAACAACAACGACTCGGCATCTTCCGGAAATCACCGAGCCCGCCGTTTGCTCGTTTCCGGTGATTAGAAAACTGCCCCCAGACGCGGGAAATTTGAAAAAGCGCGTTCCTAACAACTCAAATTGCGCAGTAAGGAGTATACTTCAGACTTTTTTAATGTGACCATCGTAATTTTCGTGTCATTTAACCTCTAAAAAGTCTATTCGCGCGGCTGTATCTCTTGCATGCAACAGGCCCATTTTGACGCAAGGTTGACTCTGGAAGTTCCGAAATTGAGGGGGATATGACGTCCTGAAGTTTTGAGACAAAAATCTTCAGTTCTAGGTCGCCGGCCAGGTTGGCCTGGCGGTCAGCGCATCTGACTCCAGAGTTCTAGACCAATGGGTCTCGGGTTCGAATCCTGGTGGTGGTGACAAATTTTCACGGAGCTGACGAGTGGATCTGCAGAAACAGATTCTACTCGGCCTTAATCCCTGAAAATTTGATAGTCGGAGCATGGATGTGCCAAAATCCCCTTAATGTCTACCGCTAATAAAAAATAATCTCAACGTTAAACTCTTATCTATAGATTGCTGTAGATTCCTAAACTGGAATATAAGTCAAATAAACTGGAAAAAAAGTTCTAGGTTAAATTTTTACATGGGGAAGTTACGGTTCTTTGCCAGGGTTCTGATACATATGCATTATGCACACAGAAAAAAAAGACAGTTAGCCTCATCCGTGGTGAGATAATTGGACGTATTTCTATCAAATGGAACTATGTGCATTAAGCCATGAGCCGCGAGACCCATAAGAATACATGCATAACAGGGCTCACGTCATAATGCACATATTTTCGTTTGATAGAAATACGTCCAATTAAGATAAAACAACAAGTAGGTACTCGCATGAATTTTTAGTGAACTTAATTTACCTGCACCATTATGATGGGACCGCCATTTCCGTATAGCAAGGGCCCTATTTCTGTAAATAAAACCTTGAACCATCTCTCCACGTAGTGCAAATAAGCTGTGTGACAGAATAAAATTATAATTAGACCTCCATTGGTGTCCGTTGCGGTGTGCACAGCAAATAAAGCATGACTATACTGCCGTGCTAAGAAAGAACGCCGTATAAACCATCAGGCGTTGCCAAATTTCCTTGGATAAAACACGAATTTCCTGGTAAACTTATGAATATTTTTCTTCTAATTTTTCAGATGATTTTGTTCGCAATTTCACCTGAAGTTCCTGAAAATTTCAAGGAAAAATATTCATAATTTCTGAAAAGTCCGGAAATAGTACTGATTTTGTAAGGGCGGTCCGGAAGTACTGAAAAAGTGCGGAAATTCCGCAAGAGGGTCCGGAATTTTTCTAATATTTTTGTCATTTTTGTCTCAATTTGAGCGAAATTCGAATTTTTTTAAATTTCGTCAATAATTGGAAGTACTGAAAAACTACTGAATTTTTCTGTTGAGGCACTGAATTTCTTGGGAATGTACTGAAAAAATACTGTAAAAGTACTGATTTTTGGTTAGCCTGTTTTAGTAGACCCCTGACTAAACTTTTCTATGACTTTTTTTAACATGTATTTCAGCAGATTAGATCATTTTGTCTCGAATCCTCCAATAATTATTCAATTTAGAAACCGATGATATTCCCACACTCAGTTTACTCGTAAGTTTCCACTTGAGGACTTATTTTTAAAAAAGGCGTGTGAAGCTTGCAATGCCGCTAAGATTGTGCAATTTTTTACAGCGTTTGCGGCAGATTAAACTCATTCACAGTCGACAATACTGCCGTGCTAAGAAAAAACTGAATTCTTGGTAATCTTACCCTTTTCTCAGTAAATACACCGAGATTTTTTTTTCAGTGCATTACTTAAACTAGAGAACTACGTCATACAATCTTAGCAGCATTGGAAGTCTCATGCGCCTTTTTACAGAAAAATGCCTCAATTTCTAATGAAATTCACAGATTTTAGACGTTTGCAATAGAGAGAAATCCTCCATGAAGCGATGAAGGAGGCCCAAAATCTGCATACTTTTGAAAGTCTCAAAATTATCTCTATTCAATGATTCATAAAGATTTATCGGATTTTCTCGCTCCTCTCTTAGAGACGTTTAGAGTTGCGGCACACTGATCCAAAACTCCTAATCTTAATGTCAATTGAATCGGGGCGTGCAAAACTGCCAATGTCCATATTTTTCCAGTCTCAAGTTTTTTTGAGTTCATAATACTTTTCGGAGCTGGTTGCAATCACGAAAGTGGCGTTAAAACTCGTCCTCGGGTTTTGTTATTCCCAAAACGAGTCATTTCATCACTGTTATGGCTGTATCAACTCTTTTGAAGCATGATGAACTCAAAAAAACTTAAAACTGGAAAAATGGACCTTCGCGGTTCTGCACGTCCCGATTCAATTAAAAGCTTCACACTGAAATGACTGATAATGTAAAATGTCCTCCATAAGAGTATCGTAAAAACTCAGTTATGATCAAGCTGCGGTTTTCATCGTTGTTGGTCGCAACATTTGTTGGTGTGTGTACTTAATCACGTATTTCATGAGATTTTGAAATTGTGTGGTCCGTACTTACAGGCATCGGTCGTGCGGAGTCGCATGTACGGGTTTAGAGTCATCAGCCAAGGAGGAAGTCCACCCTGATAGGATCAAGCATACATCAATTATAAAGACTTATTTTGTGGGAATTTATCACGTATGATTCATGCATATTTCATTACGTCTGTAATTCGATCCTAAAACTGAAGGAAATCAGTAAATCAATTCTCCTGTAATAGCAATGATAATTCCTATCAGTGGCGAGATAATGGACGTGATAATGGACTACCGATATCATTTCATTTGAAGCTATGCTGCCTTGCTGAGGAAGAACGCCGTATGGACAGTTAGGTGTTGCCAAATTTCCTTTGGTGAATCACGATTTTCGGGAAAATTTGCAAATATTTTTCTTCCAATTTTTCAGACAATTTTGTTCGCAATTTTACCTAAAGCTCTTGAAAATTTCTCAGAAAAATATTCATAACTTTCCTCAAAAGTATACATTTTATGGAAGGAAATTTGGCAACTCTCGAATGTTCATACGACGTTTTTCCCTAGCACGGTAGTATGGTAAAGAATCGATTATTATGGTATTCGTTGCGAACGCCCCGATAATCGACCTTTTTTTCATAGGTTTGAATGGCGTTTCAATCGATACATTGCAAAGCACGCCACTCCACTGATTCCTATAATGATTCGTAGTGAAAATGAGTGACTTTAAAAAGGGCGTTTAAGATGATTTCTTCGTAATGAAATAAACTGTCAGCATTGGCGCGCAGTGTTTTCAGTGAGACCTTAGGGCCGCAAATCAGCGGACCTAACAAAGTCCCTTCAATTTCATTGAGTATGCAATTTGATCTCCGGAGAGTGAAATAGATGCTCACGATCAAGGCAAATCACCGGCATCTGCGCACGGCGTCATTTGCATATGGACTGCTGAGCCATGAATCACTCGACCCACTAAAGCTCCTTCAATTTCATTGAGTATGCAATTTGATCTCCCGAGAGTTAAAATAGTTGCTCGAGATCAAAGCGAATCATCGGCATCTATGCACGGCGTCATTTTAATGGGGCCGTGAATAACTCGACCCACTAAAGCTCCTTCAATTTCATTGGGTATGCAATTTGATCTCCCGAGAGTTAAAATAGTTGCTCGATTTCGAAGAAACCACCGGCATTTGCGCACGGCGTACAGTGAATCGGGTCATAGAAAAAGGTCGGACAGAGTTTGGAAACTTTGAACGCTCATAAAACTGTTTTTACAAAACTTCGAGGTTCTAAATGTGATTTCATTGGTAAATTCCTAGAACTTACTAATTTTCATTGGTACATTCCTAGTGAAATTTTTTTTAGATCCACACCTTTTAATTTAAAATGTGACGAAATCAACGTCAAAATTTGCGGCTTTAGTCAGAAATTTCATGTCCGACCTCTCTAATTGACTCGATCCACTGTGCCGCGGCGGTATTGCCGTTCGAGTTCAGCGATACCAATTTGACTACATTTTGCAATTAGGAGCTACAATTTCTGGCTCATCCGTGAAAACACTTATGTGCATTAGGCAACTAATGGCGCATAAGTTGTTTCCAAACTGAGTCAGAAATTTTAGTTCCCAACTGCAACATGCGGTAAATTTGTTCAAAACGTTAAATATTTCACCTATTTTTGGATTTTTCCTTTAAATATTCCGATATTACGTAATGGAAACTACTTACCAAACTCCTCTCTGCACAGATGTAGGGTCCTGGCCGAAGTAAGACCAACAAACCCTCAGCTTGGGCTAACCTGATGAAGTGGACGATGTCATTTTCTCCTGTGAAGTCATACATGTTTGGGGTGGATTCATGCGAGCTCCATTCAACGTATCTGATGAAATGGAAATGAGCACCTTCTTAGAATAATGTTTTCCGAGTAGGCGATCAAAGGACCCTTCAGCCTCTCGGCAAAAATGTTATAAATTGAGGGGCTTGGAGGACAAGGCGCACAAGTGCAGTTTTTGCTATTTCGAAAAATACGTGTTTAAAGTTTCGGAATTCCATGGATCCTTACACTGGAAAAAAAAGAATCTTAAATTTGCCGCCAAGAAGTATTTCTTCTTAAATCAAGAATTTTCCTGGTTAATATAAGCTACTTTTTTGCTTAACCCAAGCCTTATTTGTCTAGTATCAAGAAAAAGTCAGCTTAAAGCAAGATAAAAAAAATTCTTGGCGGCAAATTCAAGAATCATCATGCTTGATCCAAGCTACTTTTTTTCCAGTGTATGGCGGAAAGAAAGTTCAAATTGACTTTTTGATGCCAAAAAAGTAAAATTTAGGAGCAAATTTATCTCAAAATACGCATCCAGAGTGGTTTTACTTGAAACCATTAACATCTCAATGTTTTCAAAAACTGCACTTATGCGCCTTGTCCTCCAAGCCCCTCAATTTTATTGTACTTTCGAGGCTCTGACCACACAACTTATGAGCTCATTATGTAACACTTTCAAAAAAGCTAAACTGCCCTTGTGAACATTATGAGTCCCCGAAAGTAAGGACGGCCCTAACTTTCGTCAATTTTCCCAAGGGCTGTCCGTACCAGGAGTTTTTATATCTCGAGCAGAATTCATCTGTCAACGTTTCATTTCGCTCATTGATTCGTTTTGTTTTCTGGGGACAAATATTTGCCAATTTTTTTGTTGGTCACCATGACCATTTTCACAGTACCCAAATAAAGTTAATTTATATTTTCAAAATATGTTGTACATTTATTATCTTATGATACCTCTGTTAAAAAAAAGATTAGTTCGAGCCAGAGCTTTTATTATTGAGCTTCTGAAGCTTGTTTTTAATGTTCATTATTACACGTGTAAGGTGCTGGGACCCTCAGGTGTCAGGGTTAATAAACGTACCCATCATATCTCCAAAATGTTGATTGCAAAATCAGATTTTATCACGGTAATGTGGTGACTTTTTCTGTATATAACACCGTTGATTCACTTAAACTATTGCAAATGATTTATCTGCTAATAATATGTCTACAGTGTGAACGCTATGTAGGTATAGGTATACTCTTTCCGCACAAAGCCCACACTGCCGTGCTTAGGAAAAACGCCGTATGGACCTTCGAGAATTGCCAAATTTCTTCTTAGAACACATTTATTTTTAAAGAGAATTATGAATGTCTTTCCTTGAAATTTTCAGACTTTGTAGATCAAATTACGAACGAAATCCTCTGAAAAATCGGAAGAGAGTTATTCACAAATTTTCCCGAAAATTCTTATTTTGTCAAAAGAAATTTGGCAAAGCCTGATGGTTCATACGGCGTTCTTCCTCAGCACGGCAGCATAGGTATGTAGATTAGAATGCACGTAGCCCAGGAAAAAGTTGAGTCAATCCTAGCTTTAGGTCTTAATTGGACGTATTTCTACGAAACAGACCTATGTGGCGATGAGAAATGTGGGGTGTGCTCTAGAAATCTGCATAAGAAGCAATGTGGTCAGTGGGCGTGGTTCCTTTTGAAGAATTGGAAAAGCGGGATATTGCATTCTATCAAAGAGACCTATGTGCAGCTGAGTGCGGAACTCATGAGCCGCGGGCATGGCAAGAAAGCGTTGTGAACAGGGCTCATGAGTTACAGCGCCCTGACGACGTTCTTCCCCTCGGCGCTCGTGCTCCATCATCGCCGCTGACGTCACTGGCGCTTTATTATTCTCATTCACTCTTACGGCCAGAGACTAACGAGCACACCCCATATTTCTCACTTCCACATAGGTCTGTTTGGTAGAACTACGTCCAATTTAACATCGAACTTTTGGTGATTAAGTATTGTTAAAATAATAATTGAAACAGCTATAATTCCTCACGCATGGGCACCTTAAAGCACAGTTGGTACCGAGCATAACGACTTACGTTGTGATAGCGTTCAGTCCGGCATATCTCGATTTTCTAAGTCGATCTTTCCAATAAGCCCTTGGTATTCGGAAATAGTGCAGCTCGCCGGACACGTATCTAAATTCTGCTCCATCCTTTCGGAATATGTTAGCCTTGTAATCAACTTCAAAAGTTCGGCCTCTCTGTGAAGCAAATTATTCAGTTTCAAGTATGAGTGCAATCACATATTTGTATCGTAAGTAAAATACAGAGCAGACCTGTGTAAATAAATCTGCGTCTCCATCGTCGAAGATAATTCTTTAATATTTATTTTAACGAGGAGTCGTTCTTGGTCACGTGAGACTATTTTGGAAGGAGATCAGAGGCGGATCCAAAAATTTGGCAACACCGGATTGCCTCCATTTAAACCTATGCTAAATAATCGATTCTTTTCGGAGCACCTGGCCCCTCCAAGAATCGATACATTTTCATAGGTTTAAATAGAGAGAAGACAATTTTGCCCATTTGCTGGATCCGCCAATGAAGGGGATGGGGGAGGGTTAACTCGAAGTACCTGACCAGCGCCTCATGAAGGGAGAAGAAGGAGAGATACGGTAAAGTCTTCCGTAAGTTGAAACATCCAATATAGATCAATTTGACGGGGGTGACAAAATTAGAAACTTTCAATAATTTTCAAAGAAGGCCATTAATGTGAATTATTTTTATGATTTTATTCATATGTTACTAATGGTTGAAATCATGATAAATACCTAATCCTTTCTGAAGCATTTTCCACCCCTTTAATACAGAGGAATAGGAAGCAAGTAGTATCACTATGATAATTGACTGCTGAAATCCATAGTTAGTGTATCAGCTAATTTTCATAACTCGGTATCACAGCTGCATTGATAAAAAAGCGAGTAATGCAGATAATAATGTTATGATTTGTGGGCTATTTGTGGCTCAATCAGACGTAAAGAAATCAAAAGGAATCATATCCATTCTGATATGAGCCCTGAGATCCAAAAGTTTACATGCAAAGCAGGAACAGGGCTCGTACCAAGATGGATATAGTCTCTTTTCATTTAAATGCGTCCAATTTTTGCTATCAACGCACCGCGACGATGGCTTAATTTGACTCTTCATTAGGGAATCAATGTATGTATTTCTGACTCATTTCAAAAATAACTCATGACATTTGCACTACATTTTTCAATTTGGAACTATAAATTCTAGCCCGGTTTAAAAACAACGTATGTGCCATTAGTTTCCCTATGCACTTAAGTGCTTTTCCAGAAGAGCCAAAATTTATAGTTCCAAATTGCAAAATGCAGTCCATTTGTGCCACGGCCTGCCTACTTATCTCGTCGTAGTTACTATGTTATGATTGTTGTGGTAACGATTATTTTTATCCCAGAAGGTAATAATGCATGATCGGGACGGCACTTTTACAGAGACTGAAATAATTATTACCACCATGGGCGAAAATAAGGAGGGCCGGGGGTGTCTGCCCCCCCCCCTCCCGAAACCTAGCCCCAAGAGACGTGTTGAATGTTGCTAATTAAGAAGTGCGTGACCGTGACATATCTTCCATCCTGGAAATCCGTAATTGCATCGATTTTTCGGCGAGAGCAGCTTAAAATTGCTCCTAATACGATTCAGTTTTCTAAAATTGAGGAATTTTTCGGTCAAATGACGTACGAGGCCTTGAAATGCTGCCAAGATTCTATGATTCGTATACAGCGTTCGCGGCAGTTGAATCCATTCACAGTCGACTTAGTTCCTCTCGAAGGTGAGGAAAATTCAGAGCAGATCCAGGGAAAAATTCATAGCAGAACTGTCGGAAAAGTTACTCGCAACTGGAGAACTACGTTGCACAATCTTAGTAGCATTGGAAGTCTCTTACGCCCTTTTACCGAAGAGTGCCTTGATTTTTTGGCTCCGGACCCCCTTTTGAAGCTAGAGAAGTCCCGCGAACTTTTTTTGGAGCTAGGGGAGTCCCGCAAAACTCCCCCAAATGGGGTGTCTTCTTGTGCCCTCTCGACCCCCTTTCATGAGGTGCCCTTCTGCTCTTTACCCCCCCCCCTCCTTCCCCGAAAAGTATCCAGTTCCGCGCATCGTTACCACAAAAGACCAACATTGCACTACTAATTCGAAAAAAGTACGATCTGCAGACTTTGGAGTTCATAAGAGCATTGTTAGAGGAACGATATTTTTTCGCCATGACCTCGGCTTTGGGCATATTGAGGCAATATTGACTGTTTTCTTGAAGTGAATTATTTAAACTCGACCTACCTCGGTCGAATCCGCCGGCAAGAAACTGAACACTGAGACGCCACAAACTAAAACTAACCAAATTGAACGGAACATTTCAAACCACGGCTCGATGCGTCATTCATAAAGGGACAACCGGCGACTGATTGTGATTTAAGCTCAGGCCTGATTCGATTAGAGAGACTGAAATCGTGGTCGCTGGTGGGAACAACCACACGCGACTGACCGTTGAAACTAGTGACTGATAATCTTGGCCCCCGTCGAAGTAGAGGTGCCAGATTTTGAGGGAAATCCAACTTTCTTTACGTTACGTCTATTGAGAGAAAATTGTCGAATTTTTCATCGCACAAGGAGGGGCGTGTGATATGGTCCAGAGACACGATCAGCAGCGGTTTGGCGCGAATTGACAGACGCAAGTGTTCGAGTGGTCGCGCATGGTTTCTTATCGTGCGAGATGCTGTTTCGTGCATGATTCCGAAACGCTTTTGGATTCGAAGAATTTTGATTACCTACTCAATTCTAATCGAATTTTCGCGGGTGATGAACGGTGCGGATGAGGGATGAATTTGATCGAGTTTTTCATCAAGGGACAAGCTCATATCAAGCAGTGGCTTGACGTGCTTTGCGATATACCGATTGATATACCATTTAAACCTATGGAAAAGGATCGATTATTAGGGTGTTCACAGCGAACATAATAATCGATTCTTTATCACTGATACCTTACTTAACAAATTACTTGATGATATTATAAAATGTACAACAATTAGCAGAATTTTCAGCAGAATTTCAGTCAGGGCTTGTGCTTTGACAAAAACCACCGATAATCGGGTTGAGTCAGTATGATTTTGAAAACGGAATAGTTTAGGATAAATTGCATTCCGAACTTTTCATCCACTTGACCTAACTTCTTTTTTCAGTGCGCTAATGAGTGCCAAGAGACCGAAATCTAATTAATTTCCCCAAGCCTCAGCTATAACCACTGCCATTCACCCATGTAGGACAGATTGCAATACATTGCAATTACATAGATGGTGAAATTATTGCTACTGCATCGCTGCATCGGAGCGATGTGTATTTTGTGCAACCTGAGGCCAATTAAGATAAGAACGAAAAAATTATGAAATAATAAACATGAATGTGTATTAATGATTTTAATTTCTGCCACCGCGTTAACCGCTCTGTGTTTGGCGCAATGCGTGAAGTATCCCTACAGTCTTGTAGGCGTTATGCGTTTCGAGCCGGCCGCTGCTGACCGCACTGTTTTTGACGCAATGCGTGAAGTATTCATGCAGTCTTGTAGGCGCTATGCATTTCACACCGGCCGCTGCTGACCGCACTACGTTTGACGCAATGCGAGAAGTATTCATGGAGTCTTGTAGGCGCTAATATGTGTTTCATGCTGACCGGCTCGCCGAGGGCTTCTCCTTTCCATCTCAAGTCCTCGTCATCATTGCTTTCTGTGCCGCGCCGCTCCAGGCCAAATTGCGTGCCTGGTTTCTCTCTCAACTAGACTAATGAAAGGCGCTGTCCTTTGTATCACCGAAAGACGATCAAATTAGAAATTACTATACTTCAACTCTAAGGAAATGAGAGATTTTTTCGCCTTTTCTCGTTTGTATTTTTTTTTCTGAATCAGATTTTTTTCTCGATACCTACATTTGAAAAAGTTACAATATTTGCCGCCATGAGCCACGGCCCATGTGGCCACCCCCTAAATCCGGCCCTGGTACCGACTGAAAAAACATTTGTAATTTAAATTCATTGCAATGAAATTAATAAAGTTGCAGATTTTTATTGCATTACATATTCCATGTATCTTCACGTATCTTTCTGACACGTGGAACTTATTTTGTTGATTGTTTAAAATCGGCACTTATTGACCAAATGATCTAAAAATATTGTCATTTTATAATTGAAACATTTCACTTTAATTACGTTTAAACACAACTTTATTTCAATATTTTCGTTAGACTCTCCCATTTGTGCAGCCGTCTTCTCATAGGTACGCTCTCGCATGATGGAATTGCATCGATTGACTTAAAGGGGGTAGGGAAGAAGAAAAGTCAAGATTTTTAGATTTTCGGTTTATTGGCAATTTTGGTTTTGCATACTCTCACGAATCAAATATGACCAATTCGTTTAAAGTCTGATGAATAGGTCAGGTTTGAGGAGATTTCAAAGTGAGGGAAAGTCTAGGTATTGTGCAGCTGTACTCATGTACTGTTGTTTTTATTACTTATTTTTTAAAACTCTGATTTTCCGTGAACCACGCTTTTTGACATAAACCGTTCCTTTCCTCAGGATCTATTGGGTCTTTTTTTCTTTTCCTTTTTTTTTTTTGACTTTAGGTATTTATCTCCTCACTTTCCCAAGGGCTATTTTCTTTTTAAATAAAATTGATTTCCAAAAATGGTATGAGTTCTCAAAGTCAAAATTTTCTGGAAACGTTGAACCGAAGTTCCAAAAAACCTCGTGTTAAATCGATCCAAAGATTCTATGGAATCTAACCAAAACATTTTTTTGGAAAAAAATACACAGTAGATCCTGATTAAAGGGGCATCAAAGTTGACTGAATTACTGTTATCAACATGGGCCTTCCTTACCCCCTTAATCTATGCCTATCCTGGAACTTCATCTCGAGCGTTTCAGGAACTTTTTCTTCCTCCAAGATGACCAATTTGTTGACTCCGGGGTAAGCTTTCAAGTAACAGCCCGGTATATACAGCGTTATTTGGGGCCCAACGCTGGGCCAATAACGGCCCATGTTCTTTCCGTTCACGAACACGACGCCCTGAAAAATGATATCACACATTTTATTATTACCCTCAAGGAAATATTATTGACTCACACTCATCGTCAATACTGTTGTGCTAAGGAGGAATGCCGAATGAGCCATCAAGCGTTGTCAAATTCCCTCGACAAATCACGAATTTTCAGGAAAATTTGTGAATATTCTTCAGATTTTTCACAGGATTCCCTTCGTAATTTGATCTAAAAATTCTGACAATTTCCAGGAAAAATAGCCATGAATTTCTCCGAAAATGAATATTTTCAAAGGAGAAATTTGGCAACATTCGAATGCTCATATGGTGTTTTTATTCAGCAGAATAACTGAAATGCTTGGTCACTTGACTACATTTTGCAATTGGGATCTATAATTTCTGGCTCACCCGTAAAAACACTCATGTTTAGGTATCGGTAATGGTGCTTACGTTGTCTCTAAAATGAGCTACAAGCTTTGGTTCCTAACAGCAAAGTGTACTAGGTCCAATTGGACTACGTTAAACAGGAAGGAACCAAGCCACATCAGCTATTGCCAAATTTTATTGGGCAATTTAATTTTTTACATGAAAATAGTTGTGCGAATTTTTGTGCAAATTTCTGTGGATTCTTTGAGCAGTACGAAGCGAATCCCTTCAAATTTTCAAAGGAATCCGCACAACCGTTTTCATGTAGAACATTAAATTGCCCAGTTAAATTTGGCAATGGCCGATGTGGCTTGGCTCCTTTCTGCTAAACGCGGTCCAATTAACCAATGAGTGGACTGCGAGACAGAGTGCAAAATTAAGCCTGATACTATAGTCGGCTTATATTGTTAATTCCTCGGATAATACGGTGGATACCTCAAAGAAGTGTAAAATTCTGAGTCCCATACTGCCGTGCTAAGGGAGGCTGCCGTATGAGCCTTCAGACGTTGCCACATTTCCTTCAATATAAACCTAATTTACTGGGAAAATTGAATATTTTTCCTCAATTTTTTTCAGACGATTTATTTCGCAATTTAATCTAAAATATCTGAAAATTCCAAGGTAAAATATGCATTATTTTCTCTAAAATACACGTTTCATTCGGGGAAATTCTGCAACTTTCAAATGTTCATCTTTTCCCCTTTTGCTTTTTCTCCTCGTGAAGTATATAGCAGAACTTACTTTTCCCCATCCGCTTGGGTCCAGGAATGTATCTGCAGGTTGAGAATAGGATCCATTCTCTTGGGGCAATTTAAACTCTGCCATGTAGAAAGCTGGCAGTTTAACCATCGAGCTGTTAGGAGTGGTCAGCATGTCGTGGAGTGGTTTTACGTTTGACAAACTGATTTTGGTCATGGTCCATCCCAGAAGCGGTCTCCCATCCACCGCAGGAATCGAAAGAAGACCCTATAATGAAAATACTCTTAAATATAAAACTGGGCACCTCAGATGGGGAATCTAACCCAACTTGATGAATATTTTTTCCAGTTTCTCTCGGACAAGTATTAAAGAAGATTGACTACCTTACAAGTTGAGGCATCCCAAAATCGTTTTGCACCCAATTTGTTCAATATTAGTTCAATATTAGTTCAGTATTGAGTAACCAAAACTGAAGACGCAGTCATGTTGTATAGGTATATGACAGCACTCTTCCTTGATTCTTTGATGTTCAAATGTTTGATTTTGGAAACTATTGATTTAAAAGATTCTGAATAGCTCTTCAAGTGAAGAAGAAAGTCAATATATTGAGGCATAAGTATATGCATACTGATGTGGTTAAGTGTCGTTACTTAGCACTGTAAAAGTATATTTATCGTGTATCCTAACTGATATTGTATAAACTCAGCATCCACCACTTCCTTCGAGTAATGTGATAATAAATTGAGAGTTGCATTTTTAAACTTTTAAATAATCTGAATAATTTTATCAATACAATCGTTTTATTTATTATATACTTTTACGCGGGATAAAGTATGCAACACGTTTCAAAGGATGTTGAAATGAATATGCATGGCGACCATATTGACACGCATAATAATCTACACCTACCTTAAAATCCCCTTGCATATGCTTTTCGTAGTTAATGTATCCCTGATTTTCGATGAATATGCTCAATTTTTTCCCTTTATCTTTTTGCAAAAGAGTCAATGAATAATGTTCGGATGACCTATTAAAAATAGCTCTTTGTTCCTGAAATTAAAAAAATAATTATTCACAACTTATGACAATAAAGCAAAAGTAGAAAAAATTGAAAAATAAAAAAGAAATGAATAAGACAATGTGCAAAGATGATTGGCATTAAAAAATAATAATCTTATTCTCAATCCAATGTATGTTCTGTCCTCCTCAAATCTGCAGGTATAAACTGATAAAAAAAATAAGAAACTGATTGATTGTACAGAAAATTTCAGTTTCCTGGGGAAAACGTAGGAAAAGCATTACGGGAAACTTATAATCCGTGATATTTTTGCAATTAATTATGATACTGAAATTTTCAAGACTTATTTTAACCTTTAACAAGATATATTCAGTGCTTGCAGAGATTTTCCTCTTTAGTTTCGAGATCCCTCAGGTTATGCAATCCTTAACTCTCTTTTTGTTTTTTAGCATATTTTAGGGTCAGCCAGTTACTTAATCCTGCAAAAAAAATTAGAATTTTGAAGATATTAACGAGTAGTTTTTTGCTAGAGCTAACAAGAACAAAAGAGAGAGAAATGAAATACAACTTTTTTATACATGTCCTTACAGGATCTAAAAAAATCGAGTTCGGTGTTACCTAAATCTAACCTGTGCACGCTACAACTAAAGTTATACCTAATGTCATACGTAAGAATGAACACTTACCTCATCCAAATAAACAATTGCTCTGTCTCGAATTTTTAAATTCGACAAAGAAGCGAAGTCAGGGAATTTTTTTGGAATGTACGTTTCATACAGCACATAACCTGAATATATTTCCAACGTCTCAAAGCTCTGAGGGATTTTCTCGTAAACTGGCTCATCGTCATAGATATCAGGTGCGTTAAAAATTGACACAACAGCGGAAAGTTTGACGGAACCATAAGCTTTTTTCGGGTAATTCATCGGCGTCTTTTCCCTTGCGTAATCGAAGTCCAAGTTGTAAGAATCTTTGTGCTAACAATCAACAAATGAAGAGAATTAAGGAGAATGAAAAAAGCATATCCTGATCCAAATCTACGGCGGAACTCCCGAACCACGCATCTCCTTTGCGATGTCATAAAATCTCCGCTCCAATTTTATTTTTCTGAATGAAGATAAATCAACATCATCCCTCGAAGTTTCCACGGAATTTTCCTCAGAAAACGAAAGATATCTCGGCAGGACTCTTAGTAAGTAGTTTTCCACTTGAAAAATGAATTTATGACAGAAGTCTGCAAAGTCGTAAATCGAGACACGAGGTTTGGGAGTTGCACCGTTGAAATGGTTTTCCATCGTTTCTTTGATGGGGAGAAGAAAATCGAAATGAAAACGTGATCGAAACCAGCGAAATTTGATGGTATGCTAAAAAGTTGTAAGGCTTTTCGTGAACTAGGGGGCTGTGCCCCCCGACCGGTATGTGGTCCAGTCTCTCGAAGCGCTTCAGGCGTTACCCGTTACCCTATTGCAATTTTAGAGTAATAGATATTGAATGCAACTCTTTAAGATTGCATTAGTTCATAGCGTGCGCAAACGGTTAATACTTTTGTAGTTCTGTTGTATTTAAAAAAAAAAAAAAAAAAAAAAAAAAAAAAAATAGAGTGCGTAGAGTTATAATAAAAGTGGAGGAGCTGGCGCCACTTTTAAGCATTTTCCAGTCACCGAATTCCAAATTCCATGACCCCTCAGCGGCGCCGGGTCACCATTTCGATACATATAATCGATTGCTTTCGATACACGGGTTCCCGGCCGGCGATAGCAGGTCATCCGTAAAGAAAGAGGTTATGAATCACTATGTTTTATACGATGCCATTTTGGATCGAAAAGGTGACCGAACTTCGGCGTACACCGGGCTCGGAATTCGTCGACTAGAACATGACCCCAGCTCACTTCATCATATTACGACTACATGTACTCAATGATTTAGCTGTGCCTTATATCCAAAAATTATATCCTGTTCAAAACGTCTATCACATTAGTGCAAAATTAACTTCCTTGCTCTATACTAGATTTTTTTCCTCGGCGATAATTGGGGCAGTTGCTTTTCAATTGCCAAATGCCAAGCAATTTCAATCGAAATTCTCCTGAGAGATTGTGAAGCTGGACTGTTCTCACGATTAACAGGGACACTCATCTCCTCCAGCCCTCTCTCTCTCTTCCTAACGTGAATTGTGAGAAATTGTCGTTTCCCTCACGAGAGAGCGTAAATATATTTCAATGTTGCCAAATTTCCATTCGCAAATGTCATTTTAATTAGGAGAATCATAGGCATTTCTAACTAATAATTTCACTGATTTTTCCTTTGATTCCATGCAAAAATCAGAAAAAAATTGGGGTGAAATTGCACTGGTTCATTCATTTAAAAATTTGAAATTTTTAAGTCAATTTTGCAACCTTGGAATGGAGTTACGTTCCTTTGTCCGTAAAACGACAAAATAGGCGCAAAAATTAATTAAATTGTTTCGCGTGTGTCTGTTCACTGGAAAGAAGGAAAACCAATCAATCTCAGTGATGCTGTGATTAATTGATTTAAATGTGAGTTTGGAATCAATCTTTTCATCTCGATGACTTTAAAATGATCAGCCCCAGGTCTTCACTTTTCAATCCCAATCGTATTTCAGTATTTATAAATGTATTTTTTTAATTTCAAGTTTTGAAATGGAATGAATTCATCGCACTAATTTCTGTTCATGACTTTTGGTGTGCGTTTGTACGTTTATTGCCACAGCAGAAAATCTCACTTACTTTTTGGAGGGCACTTCGTATCGCAAAATATTTTGTCGTGAGATCTCCTGCCTCGTCAATTGGCGCATCATAGTCATAGGATGTTATATCAGGTTTATATGGAAGACCGTTTGCACCTAGAATCATAATAATTTTTTTCGCTCATACAAAATGATGGTAGAATTCTGTATACGTTAACAAGAAATCATCGGACTCATTCAAATATCCGATCCACTGCGTCCACTGTGTGCGTTGATCCACTATCTACGGGAATATTGTCAACTAAGACTATGATTTACTTCATCGTCCACGGCGATATAGTACAGGGTGATCCAAAAGTCCCTTCCACCCCCTCTAACTTTTTACCTAATTGAGGTAAAGATTTGAAACTTGGGGGATATTCCTAGGTCAAAGAGAGCTACTTTTTGGCCCCCCTAAAATTTTCAAGGGGGCCCCCCTTGGGGGGGCAACGGCCCCCAACTTTTAATTTTCAAATGGGAAGACCCCCTTTGTGATAGCTCGTTCGAAAGAGCATAAAAAAAGAAAACTTTTCGCGCAAACCCGAAGTCAATATCTCAAACCGTTTCAAAATGGCGGCCGGTTAAAGTTCAAAATGGCCGAAAATTGTCACCTCGGTTTTTTACTGATGGATTTGCCTAAAACTTGCAATTTGAGAGTATTTTGGCATTAGATAAACAAATTTGGACTTAGAATTAAAAAAAATCAAATTTTGGTCATTTTGAACTTTAACCGGCGGCCATTTTGGAAATTTCGGTTTTTTTGAAAATCTAACGTCAAATTCGTTTTTCTCGTGTCCAAATACCGCTACATACCGATTTTCGCGCAAATCCATCGACAAATAACCGGTGTGAATTTTCGGCCATTTTGAACTTTAACCGGCCGCCATTTTGAAACGGTTTGAGATATTGACTTCGGGTTTGCGCGAAAAGTTTTCTTTTTTTATGCTCTTTCGAACGAGCTATCACAAAGGGGGTCTTCCCATTTGAAAATTAAAAGTTGGGGGCCGTTGCCCCCCCAAGGGGGGCCCCCTTGAAAATTTTAGGGGGGCCAAAAAGTAGCTCTCTTTGACCTAGGAATATCCCCCAAGTTTCAAATCTTTACCTCAATTAGGTAAAAAGTTAGAGGGGGTGGAAGGGACTTTTGGATCACCCTGTATACTGCCGTGCTAAGGAAAAACGCCGTATGAACGTTCGAGAGTTCCCAAAATTCCTTTAATAAAATGTCCTTTTTTGCGGAATGTTACGAAAAATTTTCCTTTAAAACTTCTTCATGTTTCAGATTAAATTGTCAACAAACTTGCCTCATCATTTCGGAAGAATATCATTCAAAATTTTCCGTAAATTGTTGTTTTACTGAAGGCAACATGGCAACGCCTGAAGGCTCATACGACGTTCTTTCTTGGCACGGCAGTATAAAAGTGCAACTCGCACCCACGGCCCCACGCCCGTGATTGATAAAACTGAGAAAGAAGAATCGGACTGCATTTTGCAATTTGGACCTATAAATTCTGGCTCTTCTGGAAAAACACTTATGTGCATAGAGAAACTAATGGCTCATACGTCGTTTTTAAACCGGGCTAGAATTAATAGTTCCAAATTGCAAAATGTGGTCCAATTGGACCATAAATTGGAAATTACATTTTGCAATATTAGGAAACACAATGTCTAGCTCATCCGGAAAAATACTTATGTCTATACTGCAATGCCAAGAAAAATCGCCGTAAGAACATTCGGACATTGCCAATTTGTTCCCGATAAATCATGTATTTCCCAAGAAAGTTATGACTATTTTTTTTTGAAATTTTAAGATGCTTTAGATCGATTCCTCGACAATATTCAATTAGAAGGAAAATAGTCTCACGTAATCCAGATAAGTAACTCGTATTTTATCGTGGGAAATTTGCCTACGTCTGAAGGCTCATACGGCGTTTTCCCTTACTGCAGTAGGTATCGGGAAACTAATGGTACATATGTTGTTTTCAAACTAAGCCAGAAATTGTAGTTCCTTATTGCAAAATGTAGTCTAACTATTAGCACGAGATACAGTGGTGATAGACGTCAATTCGTATAGTCAACTTAATTTCTTGAAAACTTCCTTGATTTTTCTTCTTTTTCAGCAGAATATTTTCCAGAAATTTCAAGTTATATAGTCGTCTTGTTTCTTTTCGAAAAAATAACATAGGAGCAGATATTTTGTCAACCGCATTCGAGATATGTGGATTTCCACTTTATTAGCCACCGATGTATAATTTGGTTTTCTGGTTTTTTTTTTTTTTTTTTTTTTTTTTTNCTAGAATTTCTATAATATAGATCAGGCAGTCACCCTGATTCTGAAATCCATCCAACTACTTTCACACCCTGGTTCTGTTTTTAAGACATAGATTTTTTTTTTTTTTTTTTCAATTATGTATTTTATTATATTTCATGTAAGTATACAGAGGGAAGCGGCGTTCCTTTCCAAAGGCGGATCCAGCAATTTGGCAACACTTGACTCCCTCCATTTAAACCTATGTTAAAAGATCGATTCTTGTCGGAGCCAGGGGCGTAGCTAGGAAATTTCTCTGGGGGGGGGGGGGG